TAACAGTCCACTGTGGTTTGTGGAAGACATGGTGAGCCCAAGTAACCATCCAAATATTCATCATCTGCCCACAGCTTCCTTTGGCACATGCACCAGGACAGTGGAGGTTGTGTTTAAATAACCCATGCATAACACAACAGCAGATGGTGGGTTATACACCATGGTGGACTTTTTGGTGGGCTGTTCAATCATGCCTATCAGCCCATTAAGTCCAGTCATTTAAAGTGTTACTAATACCTTTAATAAGGTTTGTGTGATCAGAACTACTCATTGTGGTTTAAACTGTTTGAATTGGCTCGATAATGTTTGATGCTATGCAGTTCACAGATTACAATTCAGTTCTTCATGCTATGCATCCTCTTAACAAGCCTATGAAGTATTGAAGGAAAAGAAATAGGTAAGATAAAATACCAAATTTTCGTTATGAATGTGTATGACAAATTATTTTGACCACATTCAAAACAGGAGAGGGTAGGAACTTGGAACTGATGACATTGGCATGCAAATGATAGGAGTCAGGATAATTTCTTTTCTGTGGGCACGATCTAGTGATTTTGTCAAAGATCTACAGCCTGGATATCAGAGTCCTGAATTCTGTGTACAAAAAATAGAAACTTTGGTTTAATTTACCTCTGTGGTGCTGGCCTAAGGTCAGATGGGTAAACCATTCAACACAGCAGGTATCCTATTTAATATTTCCTGTCTGTCTGAATGGGTCAGTCACTGTGGGGAATCTGTAGCAATGGTTGAAGTGCCCCTAATCTAGCATCTATTTTTACTTTCTTGGGATAAAAAGTGAAGTGAATTTATAAGCAATGGAGAATGCATTGGTAGGGAATCTAACCTCTTAACTCTTCTCAGCCTTCAAGGTCAGAGGAGTGTTTTAAATGAAGGCTTATACTGTATGTTGTTGACAATATTATTTGACCCATGTCTCCAAGGCCAAAATCAACATCTTTTTGTGTAGATGTAAGTTCCTGGAAAAATGTTTTAATAAACAGTAAGCTGCCATCACCCTTCTACATCTTTTTCATTCTTTCCCACATCTAGCACAAGTTTTATGCATCCTTAGAGGAATAACCCTTGTGCTAAAGGTTCTTGAAGACATTCTTCCAGGATATTTACCTGCTGCATCCCCATTCAACTCAATAAGATTTGACCAGAAGAACATGACAAAAAGTTTGAGCCAATCCTTATTATTCTGTCACGTACAGGTCCTTTATATATGTGTGTGTAGCAGGGGTAAAGCTGGAAAGACCTAAGTCTGTATGCTGAACCCTGTGAGGTAATCAGCAATCATAGTTTGTTAGAGAGTGCCGGGGAGTGCAACCCCATCCAGGACAGATTGAAAAGTTTCCAGTAGGACAGATCATCTTGCCCATCAGCAGCACGTCCAACAGCTCTCTAGTACTCCAACAGCTCCAACAGTATAAATGAGGGCAATGTTTTCCAGGTTGCAAATACCTTTATATAGAAATTACAAACTAAATAAATTTATAAATAAAATAAAATAATTTAGTCCACTGAATTGGCAGTGTGGCAAGGCTGGGGGACTAGCTTGCTCATTCAGGATTACAGTGTAGTCTAGAGCAATATATGAATATGGGACCTAATCCAGTACAGTGTTAAGAGTGCTTAAATTAAAAGTTTAACCTACTGGTTAAGTAAGGCTTAAGAAGCTTAACTGTGTGAAAGTGGTGGTGTTACTTCCCAACCACAAAATAAATTTTTTGGACCAAATACAGAATTCTAACTAAGCCCAGATGTACCCATACTTCGGGGGCAATTCAATGGAGGTTCAGTTTAAAAAAAAAGTCCTAATAGGCCCAGCCTCCCTCCAAGGACTCATTCTGGCTGTAGGTTTTGTAATGTCTAACTTTGCATAGGATTTGCACCCTTAGACTATGCCACAATTTCTTTAAGGCATATTATTATGCAAACTTAAACTGTAAGAATGCCTACAACCCCCAGCATGTCCTGGCAAACGTTTTAAATGTCTAAACTTGTATAAGATTGCACCTTTGTTTAACAATTTTAAGGTTGCAGAAGGGGACCTTTGTTATTCCTTCATCTGATCTTCTTTAAATCCTCCTACAGTTTAGAGGAAAAATGATCTTCTCTTTTATCATACAACTGAGAGGGAAGCAGTGACCACATTCTTGTTCATGTAAAAATTGTATGCAAGCAAACAAAATGTAGCATCTGTAGCACAAAATCCAGAATAAGTATCATGGCCACTTGAGCCAAGAAATCATACTAATTGCGTGAGTTTTAATTATTTATTTAGAACTACGAAGGTTTTATATCAGTAAAACAATAGTTTTGAGGAAAAAATGAACACTTTCTTTGTTGTAAGATGATGCATGCATGTATCACAGCAGGCATTGTTTCAGGAGAGTCATTATCTCCTTTGTGAGAGAAAAGAGGGAATGCTTCTTGGGGTACCTAGTACTCATAGGTTTCTAAGCATTTATATTAAAAATAATTGACTTTTTTTTTAAAAAAATCTACAGCTCCATTAGCTGGACACACCTTTTTAATTGATCAGAACATCTGGGAACTGATTGTAATTGAATTGATTACAATCAATTGTTGCAACCTCCCTAAAAAACCCAGACACTTAGTTCATTGATTAATATTCATTTTAAAATTTATAGTTTGCATGTCCTGACATATGGCCCACAAGAGGGACACAATAATGTACAAAATGCAATTTAAAGCAGCTAAAGACCACTAAAAACCACAGCAATGATGATTAAAAGCCTAAGCAAATGTAGAACAGCCACTACAATAGGACAGCAGCAAAAAACTCTTCATATAGGTCCAGGGACTTGTGAGGAAAAAGAGAAGTAACTGATTTTCTGGGAGTCTGAAATGAAGAAGACAAGCAGGTCTCTGTAAGGGAACTGTCTGCTATGAGGGCAGAAACCAGCACGAGGAAATCGTGTGGCCACCAGTCTAGCTTCTGGTAGAACTGGAAAACCAAGCAGAGCTTTGCGCAATGGCCTGAACACATGATTCGTAATATTATGTGGGATTAGTAGGAATGGAGGGATCAGGGGAAGATACCTATGTATATTGGTATGCCTTGTGTGTATTTTGGATGGTCAAAAAATAACAAACATTGGGTTCACTTAATGCCTTTTAAGCCAGCCTGTATCCTAAGTGCACATTTCAGTGGATTGAATATCAAGAAACATGTTCGCTTTCTCTCTCGTTTACTCTGAAGTGTTCAAAGTGGTCCTCTCTCTCCCACACACACACACACACACACACACACCTCACAACAACCCTGTTTGATGGGCCACTGTCATTATTATTCCCAGTTAGTAACTGGATTAGAGTATGGGGTATGGGAAGGAGTGGGAAACATCATCTCTTGAAGGGAACATGACATCCATGGTACTGACTGATTGAAGAGTGTATGTAAAGACTCAGTGCCCCCAATTCCAGTTTACTTCTAGCACTGGATAGAAGATGCTTTAGGTATGGATAACTTCCATTCATGCTGCTCCACAGTGTAGAGGTTAGAAATATGTTTACTTTTTTGTTTGCTTTTAGATTGCTTTGTGTATGATACTTATTCCCCTCTGCTTTTCTTTCCATGTCTTGGCAACTTGATGCTTTAAACTTGGGAAATTCTGCAAATGCATTGTTATCACCCTAGAGTATTACATTAGATTATGCCATTTCTAGAATTTTGTGGTGTCTGTCTGTCTGTCTGTCTCTCTCTCTCTCTCTCTCTCTCTCTGTGTGTGTGTGTGTGTGTGAGAGAGAGAGAGAGAGAGAGAGAGAGAGAGAGAGAGAGAGAGAGAGAAGCTGGCAGGAGGTTCGGAAAGCCATGTGTTTAGGAAGTGGGGAGCAATAAATCTCTTAGAATACACACTTCTAAGCAGTTTCCCCAAATGTGCACTTACCATGGAGTAACGTAGCCTATGAGCTGGTGGGAGTGACTGTCTTGAACATCTTCTCCATGGTAAAACAGAGGAAAAAAAACCCCTATACCTATTTCCATGTCACAGTACAAAGTAAGCCTGTTTAATGGAGTGGCTAAACTCCAGGAGAAAAGCAGATGCTTACTGTTCATTGTGAATCTAAACAGTCCTGCATACGTTTCGACCCACCAAGCCATATGCAGCCTACCAAGTATGCATGATGCCCCTTGAAAGAGATAGATTCTCTCTGTTTTTGCTACCTCCCTGGGATGGCAGAAGTATGTCGGGTATCAAGCATCTGAGAGGTATGGTTGATGGCTGGCATTTGATTTATAAGTTGCCACGCCAGGACAGTACGTTATGAATGTATGGCCTGTGTTAAACCCTTGCAGATCCCTGATGCGCTCAGTACAGCTGGAGTGCTGCCCATGAATTGCAGCAGCCCTCAAAATTCTCAGCCTGCTTTTCAAGTCCTGATAACCTTAACCTCACAGCACTAGAGACAGCAAGGATCAGACCAGAAGCCTCTGCATGCAAATCATCTGCTTTACTCCTGAATTACATCTCTTTCCTCAAAGCCTCAGAAATATACTGATAAGATTACCACCATCACATTGAGTTCTATTTGGAGTTTTCAGCAATGTGGGCATCAGGCCTATACAAATTGTGACCCAGCAAGCTGGAAACAGCTTGTCATCCAAGTATGCTGGACCATCAGGGGCTTGATTTTGCTGCCTACCTTCGTTATCCAGCTCCTGGCAAACGGCGGTGTGTGCCTGATGGACAATACATGGTTTGTGCAACTTGCTGCTCTTAGAATGAGATATTTGTCTCAAAGGGAGGGCACGTTTAGATGGCTAGGCATGTGTACCATAACTGCATTATTTACTTCAGACAACCATGTAATACTTTTCCTGCTGTTAAGTAGGTTGGGGGTTCAGGAATTACGCAAAAGGAGAGTGCTCCATAATATGATATTAGAAATATATTATTTCTCACTGCACTCCTTAAGAAAATACTATTCTCCTTACATTTCTGTTTTTTTTCTCCTTCATGCTATGGCAGTGGTGCTCCATGCTGATGAGACAATACTTGGTGCAACCCCAGGCAGTCATTTTTCAGGTAATTTCTTAGGATACCGAACACCTGACTCATACTTTTCATGTATGAATCCAAGTCAGGTTCCACGATTACAAATGAGGTACTCTGGCTGTACCCGCATATTAATCAAATCCTGCTCATAGCTTCACCAGAAACCCATTGGTATCATATTGCAAGTAGAAAAGCAAACATTTTGGATAGGGTAGTGACACAAATAAAGCCGCAGCTCAGCTTTGCCACACCTTCTACTCCACTGTGCTGAATACAATCCACCAGAGATGTTTTGTAGCCAGCCAGTTACCTGGCAGTCTCCTGTTTTTGAATTTTCAGGCAGGCAGCAAAACAGGAAGTTTATGGAGCCTGTGGTGGATCACCCTACATGGCTGGCAGGCTGTATTTGGCCAGATGATTCATCAGATTTCCAATTGGTTGTCCAGTGCTCATTCTGCACTGTCAGTTTATATGCAATCGTATGTACACAGTCTGCATATATTTTCATAAAGCCGTGCATCTGTCTCAGGAATATTGTATTCACCCAGCACTTAACCCATTGTATTTTGCATTTAGTAAAAAGCAGTTCTCTCACTCCAGAAAGAGCAATCACTGCTACTTGGTTGGCTATATGGAACACAGTTACATAAGTTTCAAACCTTTATCACTTTATTTATTTATTAGATGTATATCCTACCTTTTCCTTGCAAAGAACTCAAAGTGACTTACATCATTCTCTTCCTACTGTTCTCAGTCATATGCCCACAAGAGCAACTCTGTGAGGTAGGTTGAACTGGGAGGTGACTGGCCCAAAGTCACCCAGTTGGCCCCATGTCTGGACACGGACTAGAACCCAGATCACTTGAGTCCTAGTCCCGAGCTCTTAACCACTACACCACACTTGAATATTGTTGGTGATGTGATAACACTTAGCAATACATGTTACTCTCTTGCCTTAAGAGTATACTAACAGCGAAGGGGCTTTGATTGAGTGCTCATGCTGTCTCTTTCTCTGTCATCTCTGTACATATAATGGTAAATGCTGGCTTCTTTTTTGCTTCTACATGTCCATGTAACTACACACAATGCCCTTTTAATGTGTGGTTTATTTATTTATTTATTTTACCTATTTACTCAACCTTTCTTGCTTGAATTTCATTGTGCAGTTTATTTGGAAAGTGCAAATTGCAAAAAGTTCTCCTCCTGCATTCAAGCTAGTGTGTAGATAGGCTATTGCGCTTTGTTCCTAGAAAGGGTTGACAATAATATTGTCCAAGATTTTTTTTTTTAAGATGGGATAATTTGACAAGTCAAATAGAAAGACTCTCATTCTGAATGATAAATGCTAAGGAAAATTAAGGAAATTTCAAATTATCAAAGTCAGATGTTTTAAGATCAAGAGGACATGATAAGTTACTAGACAACAAACTATAAGTGAGAGCAGCTGGAGATATTTGTTTTTAATTCCAGGGATGCAATTTACATTATTGAAAATGAAAGTCACTTTTCAGCTGAAGATGTGGCTTGCCTCTTCAACAACACATGGCAAGAAATATATATCTAGCTGGAGATTGTTCTACCTATATTACTGTAGAGAGTGGGTCCGTCTTGTGCTCATTACAGACTGTTCAGATAGATTTGTCTGATTCTGAGGAGGAGGTGGAGAAATGAGGTGGAGTGAGGACTTTGAAATTTCCTGGTTAACTAGGCTGAGCATAAGAGTTGGCCTGCTTTGGAAGGGTGGAAGAATTTTCAGGATGGGAGGGGGGTGTAAGACCCAGTCCTTGACCCGGTAAGGGAGGCATCAGGAAAATTAGCTGCCCAATTAGAGGTTCTCCCATATTTTGGCTGTCTTGCCCTCCAGTAGCAAGAGCTACCCCAGGGGTGGAGTTGGAAGCCTTACTGAAAGGGAGGGACTCAACAGAAGGTTCCTGTTTGGATTCAGCTCTTTACATGGGAAGAAGCTGCTCTCCCAACTTTGGTAGAAGGCTATTTAAAATTCACACTGATCTGTAATAAATAATAAATGCAATAAATAAATTCCAATAAAGCATTGTACCTCACAGGATTGTCTTGAGTCTAAAAGGGAAAGGACCAACTCATACCAGGTACATACCATTTCACTGGATTGTGGCTGAAGTTATAAAAGGAAAAATAAAGGTTTATAATTAATTAGCTTTTGTTATGTTTCAACTGATTTTGAAACAGGATATATATGTTTAAAATTTGTGGTGAAGACTCAGCCCTCACCTAAAACTATGGCACAGATTGTGGGGTGGATCTGGTCAACTAGGGCAGACTGAGGAAGATACGGTCTAAACAATTAGGAGGGAGAACAACAGAATTGTGTTTGAGAGGTGTGGTATGGCATCAATCTCGATCGATCGATTGATCGATCTATCTATCTATGCTCCTTTGTGTCATTAGGAGCTGTTACACCAATCCTTATCCTTAGCAGAGAGTAACTTGTATGCCTAGGAATGAACACACTTCAGCAGTGGTGCAAACAGGTCAGGGAGTGACATGAACAGAGATTGGTGCAACAACTGCTGATGTCACAAATACCTTTTTCTTACTCCTGCTCTTTGCATATACACGCAGGGAAAGGGACAGAGACTGCTGAGCATGTGTGCAGGGAGGTTGACACTGCAAGCAGACTCTGCTACCTCTGTTTGAGCCTCTGATTGTCAAGGAATAGAAAGGGGCTGCTGGTTGGTATGTAAACCTTCCAAGTTGCCTGAACTTCCTGTGGATTGCAGCAGGCAGGGAGGCTTGAAAGGAAGAACTTAGTTGGGCCTGGGGTAAATGTACTGATGACAGAGGGAACTGAGGTGATGGCCTGTGGGTTGAAGCAAGAGATAGCATGAGAAGATAAATTCCACATAGTACAAATCCAGCTAGGAATTGGCATGTGCCAAGCGGTAACAGTCTCTCCAAACACATTACACAATTTGGGATGTGCATTCAGTAAGTGAGCACAATAATAGCTAAGCCAAGCATAGTCCTAGGAATATTTGGCAGGGAATTCCATTGCTTTTTCCACTTGTGGTTTCTGCCATGTAGGACATCCCTTTGGAGAAGTGTCTTCTGTATAGCTTGGTAACATGAATGTGAAGGATCTCTTAGATGGCTTTTAAAAGGGGTCTATATGATTCAAGGAATTTGAGTCATAATAGCAATGACTATGAGTTGATAGCTAATAATGTATACAGGAGCAGTGTAACGCTAAATGTCAGATGGCACTGTCTCACAAGAGGGAAGAACATCACTTCTACACATGCTTCTGAGTGTTCCAGGGAAAGTGTTGACAACAAATTGATGAAATGGGTGGATCTTGGTTGCATCCAGCAAAACAGTTCTTATGAGGGCTATGTACTGTTGGAGAAATCATTCCAGAACCAGCTTTTAGGTGGGGGTTCACTTTACTTTGGTTTCCTTTAGTGAGGGTGCAGTTCAATTCAGACCCAAACTAGGGCCTTGGTCCAGTTTTCTGAAGCTTCAGATGTCTCCTGCCTGAATGACTTCAAACCTGCTGCCACCATTAATGCAAAGGTGTGTATCAGAGCCCTGAAACACATATTCAGGGAAACTCTTGCTCAGGGCCCCCCTGCACAAGCAGAAACTGCTCTGAAGGTGTATATGGGGGCGGCTGTTAAAGGAGGGAAATAAAACATACACCTCCAAAAATGACAGGTGGGGGAGATAGCCTATCCTCTGCCAAGAACACTTTGGCAACAGGGCTTAGGTAGGGGTGGCCATTTTGGGGAATGCAGGCTTTGTTTTCCTGTTCTGAACTATGCCCCCACGCACATCTTCAGACCCTGTTTGTGCTGCTGTTGTGAGCAAGTATCCCCTGAAAGCATGCATTTGGGTTTTGACAGCCATCATCCTCTCTGAAGCTTTAGAGAGTCTAAAACTGTGGGACAGTCCACTTTTAGATTGCTTTACATATTTCACTTTGGAGAAAGTCTGAATACCTTGGAAAAGATCTGCTTCAATTTGGTATGTGAACTTTGTCCAATGCAGATCTCTACCTTTTATGTATTTATGATCCAAGGTTTTGTTCCAAAGCAGCCTCAATAAACAGCTTGGTACTAGTTTTATGCTAGTGGAAATGGTTTGTTCTTTAATTCTTAGCACTATGAGTTGTCATTTGGAATGTGCTTTTAGGAATCCAGATATCAGCCAAAAACAGATCAATACTGTTACTATTCTGGACCTCTCAGAAAAATTAACAAGTTATTTTCTACTTTGGGGTGCAACATGCACTCTCATAGTATAGAAAATACAAATAACTTTTGGACAGCTTTGGAATCAGTCTGATCCTAGGTAGTTTTGCATAAGTCTTTTAAATTTTCTAGCCCACAAAGGTTACTGTAACATTCTGGAACCTCCATTATCCTTGGAACATTTCTCCCCACTGTTTGGTAAGATGTGGTCCACTGTGCATCATCTACTGTGATTATCAGCTAATGCTGTGGTATGGAAGCAGATGAAGGTGTTGTAGAGTGACTTTACGGGACGTTTTTAGACAATCTTCTTAGTCAAGTGAGGGTCTATTCATGCATTCACATGGTGCATGGTAATTGTGGGGAATTCCAGTGTGAACTCTGACTCCCCATTCAAGACTGATTGGTCATATACAGAAGGAACCAGCTTTTTGAGTATTTGCAAGGGCAGGAGAAAAAAACAGCCCCACATATGATAACCAATGTAGATAGCATGGGATTATTCCATATGTTATATACAGGAATTTTGGGTGCAGTTTCATAAATCATGTGACCTGACCACCCTCATCAATACTGCATAAGGCATTTATCCTGTGCTTACCATTCCCTACTTTAATGGATTCTTCAGATGATGTTTCATTCCAATTTCATTTCTGTGTCTAAGCAGTACTTTCAGCACCTTTTGATTCCTTCCTTCCTTCCTTCCTTCCTTCCTTCCTTCCTTCCTTCCTTCCTTCCTTTGATCAGGGAAAATGCCTATTTTATTTTAAAAGCAAAAGAAAGCATGATTTCCTTAGTGTA